AGCCATAGCCAATTCTTTTTTCTCTTTTTGGTTGAGTGTCTACTATGTGCAAGATACTTTATTATTACCCAGAATGCCCAACAGATATGAAACAGTTATGATGTGGCAGGCTCAGTACCAAGAACTTTACTCATATTATCCCAGCTCATCTCCATAAATCTCCATGACAACACTGTGATGCAGGTACTAGGATTGTCCCCATTTGACAGAAAGGGAAACAGGCTCAGAGAGATGACATAACTTACTGAAGGCCACATAGCTAACAACTAGTAGAGGCAGGATTCGAACTCAGGTCTTGTTGGCTCCAAACCCTACATGCTATGTGCTTAGGTGGTCCACTACACAGCCTCCAGCATGCTCTGCTGCCTCACTCTTCACTCAGGATGCCTTCTCCCAATTAGTAGATTAGTCATGTGTTGACACTTCTAGTCTCGGTCTAATGGCTTGTTTATTTAACTGATGGATGCTGCTCCCCATTTGAGGCCATTAGCATTTAAACAAAACAAAACAAAACAAAACTGTTGAGCCTGGCAAAGTGACACTGTGTTTACTGTTTTTCTCCCAGTGTTAATTGTAAGCATTTTCCAAATATGTATTTTGATGTGCTAACAGTCCCTACAGAGAACCACCGAGCAGTTTAGTAATCTTCCCTTGCAGCTAGCTCCAGCCCAACTCCCCTTAATCTCCTTGGTGAAGAGGAGAAGTCTTGGCTAGGACGCTAGGACAGGGAAGAGGTATGGTGACAGTGTCAGGGTGAACTATTAGGGCACAGAGGAACTGGGCTGGGCAGGCGACTCTGTCCTTGGGGGGCAAAGTGCCAGAGTATCTCTCCCCCATCACGCATGGGGAGGGAATTTGGTATTTCTTTCCAGGACAATAAGCACATCTGTGCCAAGGCAGAGGAGGAGGCCGGGCGCTCCGAGGCATCTCTGCTGGAGTCTCTTGACACTGTCCGATTGTTACTGTTTCGGTTTCTGCTTGGATCACTGACCATGTCCTTTTCCAGCAGGCTGGCTTGTTTGAAGATAGTGTAGGGCTAAGGACGGAGAGGACCAGTCTGGCTGGGGCTGAGGGGGTGTGGTGGGGAGGGAACAGGTTGCAGATGAGCTGCTGCACCGAATAGGGTAACTCTTGCATCCAGAAACGGGAGGAAGGGACACTTCCACTGCCCCCTAATTGCTGTTGATGGAGTCCAGTCTGTTTGCAGCCTCCCTCTTCTGACAGACTGGGGTTCAGCCTGACTTGGGGTAAACGAAGAGAAGAGCTACAGGTTTGATCTTCATAGGGGACAGTGGCTCACACTGAGAAACACTTGGCTGCTTCCTCCTGCCAGGGCTAGTTGCAAAGTGGAGTTCAAGTGGAGTTCGTGGCTCTCAGCGAAGCCATCCCCAGTACCATGAAGCCGCATCGCTGCAGCGTGTGATGCTAACGACATCCAGAGCTGGCCCCAGCCAGCGATGTGGCCTCCATCGGGGTTGAGCTAAGCCAGCTCCTTAGTCTCTTCCTTACTCAGGACTTGCAACCCTGGAACTGGGAGTTCTTAGGGGACCAAGAGGTAGGCATCTGCCTGCTGCATAATGAGTTACATCAGTCTCAAAAAGCGCTGATGGCCCAGCCCTTCGGGCATCATGCTGTGCCTGGCACGAGCTAGTAATCCGGACCGGTCCTGGCCCTCCCGAGTTTACAACCTAAAGTCACACAATAATGACATAGATCCCAAAGGCAGTTAACAAATACGTCTACTTGTCTGCCAATCACAAGGGGTCCATTGAGCGAGCCACAGCGACAAACAGGGCCCCCTTCAAAGGGCTTCCAGTCTGGCGGGGAAAGAGGGAAGACTGAGGAAGGCCGTGGGAAAGACGGCTCAGGTGAGAAAACAGGGTGAACTCGGCATCATGGAACACCTTTTCTTTTTCTGGGTGCCTACTGGCGTGTGGCTGGGTTTTCTGTCCACGCGGGCCACGTCCCTCACCCCGGGTCGAGGGTTCAGTTCCAGTCGTCCGCCCGTGCCCGCGGGGGAACTCCGGGCCGCGGCGCGCCGCGTGGGCTCGCCCTGTCCCCCGGTGGCCGGGGCGTGTCACTGGCCGTGGCCTCCCGGGTCCTGACGGCTGGCAGCTCAGGTCCCAGACCGCTCGGACATTACTGGGGCAGCCCCCGGCCCTCGTCCACCAGCCGGGAGCCCCAGCCGCGCGCTGCGCTTTGGGG